TCTCCTACTTATTTTAATATTCTTTCCCTCACTGAAGATCTTTGTGAAATTACCCATATTTCTTTTTGCCCAATCTAAGGCACTTCTAAGGCAGCACTAACCAATAGCAGTTTCCACAAATTAGACTGACTAATCAATAATTTAGATTCATTAGTGGAAAGCAACAAAGGCCTCTCTTCACTCCCATGGGAGTTTTAGAGAAAATAGGCAGGAAAGGCTCATCAAGTGGAAAAGGTACTGAAGAACTGAACTTCAAAATACATTGGGCTTTAAATACAAATCTCATTTATAGGTCAAAAAATAACTTAAGTCTTTAAACTTTAATGTGAAAATTAAGTTGTTCTTGCTCAGAGAGTTGGGAAAGCTTTTCCTGGTTCAGTACTTTATGTAGCCAAATACTACAGAAGCTATTGGGGTTTAGATGTCTAGATTCTGTCTCTCCCTTTTCTAATTTAGAACCAAAAGAGTTGAAGAGTTGAACTATCTTATCACCATCGAGTTCTGCCTTTCACATTGGCCTCCTAAAACTGTTTTTGGGGTTTTTTTGCATCCTTGTGATTTTATTCATATCAGTTCCACAACTTCTTTCTTCTACCCATAGACTCTGGGCTGCCTTGTGCATTGCCAGCGTTCCTGTGGGATGTTCCAGCAAATGTAAAATATTGTATGATTTACCATTATATTTCTATTGCTGTTACAGGATCAAATATGAATATACTCCGTGGTTTAAAGGGTTCCACTCTCCTCTGGCATGTTCCTCTGAAAGGATGCATGAAACAATCATTTTACCAAAACTTCTATGGCAGCTTACAAAGCATCATTCAACTACAGGGTTTCACAGACTAATGATAAACCAATACAAAACAAGTAACAGTAATAGAAACATTGGCACATACTCTAAAAATAGATGTACTGTAAAGATTAACTTAAAAATTAAATGCATTTGCCTTGCATACAAGATATTCCTATGACAGATATTTTGCCTTCACTGCAACTGTATATAGGCATGTTCTTTCCACTGCCTAGTCTGTGATTACAAACTGGAATATGATCTTATGCACTTAAGGCATGATGGAAATTCAAGAACTGTGTCAAATAAAGGGGCAAGGTTGAAATATTGATAACCTTTCAAGATCACTGGCCAGTCTAGAAAGCAGGGAGAATCATATGGTGACTGAAAATCATTTCGTACCCCATATTACTCCAAATGAATTAGGTGTGTGTCACACAAATAAAAGACGACATTAAAAAAATACAGATTGTTCATTACAAAAATCCCAAGATCATGTGACTGTGCCTTTCTCTTTGTTGTGAGACCGGTTTCTTATTCACAGCTGTTAAGGGTAAAGGCAGGGCTTTCCATCATTTACCTTTTTATACTATGTTAATGTCATAGCAGTGGGTGGGAAATGTCCAAGGGAAATGGCATTGCAAGTAAAGATAATGTTGTAATTCAATCATATTTGTCTGGCCATTTTCTTGCATTGAATTGTCCAGATTTAAGTAACTGTCAACAGGAAGTATGATTTATATAACCATTACTCTATGACTTTCTCTTGTTCTGATCTCTTACCAAAATGTATCTATTCATTAATAAAAAGCTACTGCTTGAATAAGGCCAGGCACAGACACATTAATTTATACTCAGTGAACTGAACCTTGAATAGAGCATATGAGTGAACATTCTGGCTGTGTTCTTTCCTAGCATTTTCAGAAAAGCCTTCAAATACAAATATTGAGGTAGCAGTTTACCACCGATCCGATATACCTAATCCCAGGATTAATTCTGTATGCCCATCACTGGTGAAGCAAGATGGATTTAATAGCCCATTAGCCTTTCAGCATGATAATTTTCACGTCACTTATCCTGCTGGGTTAATTGCTTTAAAGTGGATATTATTGACCTCAATCCTAGTGGCAAACAGAGAACGTCTTATTCATCTCCCAAATGTACGTTCTGAGACTCTTGTTTCTTTTGGTCCTGACAATAAATCCCCTAGATTATGTGTTTGTATATTATAATTTATACCCTATTGGCCCATATTTAAGAGCTTACTGAAGCAACATCTTTCAGATATTATTACCCACGACTGGAATATTAAATTCTTTTCTTATGTAAAAAGAAATGTTGCAAGCATAAAAAATAATTGTTTTACCTCTGGTTAAGAAATTAATTTTAATGCTAAAAGCTGTAGCGGGTGCATCAGGGATTAAGCACTTTTGGAATAAACAGCTAGCCAGTATATTTCCAACTGCAGAAGTCTGGTCATTAGAAGGAGAGAATGAAGAACAAATTTGGACAGAGAAGCTGCAGGAAAGGAAATTCGTGTACTAGCAAAGAGAAACAAAAACATGTAATGAAAAAGAAAATCAAGGAGTAAAACTGAAGAGCGACGTTTTTATTCATGTCTATTATTTGTGGATGTTTTCCTTTAGTGATTTAGAGAAAACAGGCCAGCTGCTTTGAGGGAATTAATGCTAGCTGTGAGCAGCAAGAAATAGAAAAAGCAGGAGTGGAAGAGGAGCACAAGTGATGTGATTGCTTGTGGGGAGGTGAAAGAGAGCTGGAAGTTACCACAGCCAGTTTTTAGATCCATGTGTGTCAAGAGTGTTGCACACACAGTTATACACAGAGCCTTGTATTCCTCAGGCACCCGTTCCTATGGGAAACAGGAGGAAACCTAAGATTTAGGTACTTGATTGTAGGAAGCCAAGGTTTGGAGCAGGTGTGCCCACAGACTCTAGAAGAACCCAAATCCCTCAGATCTCATTTGTAACACGGTCTGTCCTCACACACCCCTGAAGTCTCATTCTGTAGTTTCCTGGGATAAATTTCCTCTATAAGATACAGAATGGAGAAGCTTTGTATTTGCAAAAAGTGATTTCTAAACCACATTAATGTTAACATAGGTTAATGGCAGAATGGCACCAGAATAATGGCAGAACTGTTTCTTCACAAAGCAAATTGGAGCCAGAAGATTCCTACTGAACTATCTGATTGACTTAAACAGTGCTGGGATTTTCCCTGCGAGCTCAGTTCCACATTTTACTGACAATGACAATGTCAATGACAGTGATGTTGTTTTTATTAGCAGCTGTTCCTGTGTGACATCCACATGAGAACAGTCGTGACTTGAGCAGTGGAAGCTGCATGTTCCTGCTTCAGTTACAAACCACCTTTGACTCTGGTTGAAACAAAACCTGACTGCATGTAGCAACTCTCTGCTGCAGCAGGTGTGTGGCCAATCACTGCTCTCCAAAGGATTTTCCAGGAAAAAGAAACTCGCTTTTTAACCTTCAAATTTTTTTTTTTTCTAAATTTAGGTCATCTGCTTTAGGTCATTTAGGTCATTGGCAAAGGTACAATGTTAGCATGTTTCGTAAAAGGCAAAATAAATGAAACCTTCTGAATAACAAGAATATCAGCATTTCATAAAGCAGTGAAAAATTAGAAGAAGCAGGGAGAATTTGGTCTTTATAAGACTGGAAATATTTCCTGTTTACTCTTAAGAATGCTATTTAAGTATTGGTGATTATTTAGTGATGTTTATTTTTTACTTTGAACAGCTCCTGCCATCCATACTAGGAAAAGAATTAGAGTATTGCCTTCTGTGTTTAAAACTTAGAACTGGTTGATCAGCTCATGTAAATTAGCACATCCAGAGGAATCAGAAGAGGAAGGACAGATTACTGATGCTGAACACCTAGTCCTAGATTTTTAAACTAAAACTATGAGGAAAATACAGTGGACTGACGTCAGGGGCACAAAACTTGACCCTAAATACACTGTACTGGGAATCATTAAACCGTAAAAGATTTTAATCATACATAGTGTTGCTGGGGAGTTTTGTAAATGAAATTACTGAAATATAAAATGCATTGACTTTTTTTTTTTTTTTATACATTGATTTCACACACTGTTGTAAAGTATTCCTTTAGGCACCTTTGTGTGGAACAAACTCGTATTTTGTGGGTCAGGGGCTGACTGGGGTTTCCTCTCTGGTACCACATGTACGTGACTGTTGGCTCTGCTCTCCCTCGATGGGGGAACGGCCAGCCGGGCACCAACTCCCCAAAGGAAAACCGAGCATTTCTCACCTCCGTCCCAAGAAAGCCAGACCATGTGGGGGTGTGTGTTCTCCCCACAGATCCGCTGCCTGCTGCAATCCGCCTGACGATGCCCACGGAACTGGGCCACCAGCCCGTCCCGGCTCATCCCCGCCGCCAGGACCCTGCGCTGGGAGCGGGAGCAAAGCGCCCGACGGGACCGGGAGCGCCTTCGCTCTCGCCGCGCTCCGTGACGGAATTTCCAGACTTTTGGGACACAGAAGGGCACGGGCAGAGCTGGGGCGGGGACGAGGCAGGTGGTCACTCTTTCACGGAGCACCTCCCGGTCTCCCCGGCCGGCCTGAGCCCGCTGCCCACCAGGGGCGGCGGGGACTGCCTGGCGCTCACCCCGTGGTGTGAGGGGCACTGTCCGCCCCAGCACCTCTCTCAGCGGGGAGGCCGTCCCCTCCTCCCCGAGGAAAGTCTAACTGCACTCAGTTTTTATTGATATTTTTCCATCGGGACTCTCCACAGGACTGACCCCCGCCCCGCCGGGTCACGCGGGGTGACTCGGCCCCGCCGGAGGCACCGCCCCGGGCCGGGGTCGCGGTGTGAGGGGAGGGAAGGGATGCGGTGCGTCCTCCCAGCCGACAGGGAGCGCTGCAGCCGGCGGGCGCGCAGGGCTCCGCCGCCGCCGCCATCTCCTCGCTGAGCTCATAAAGGTGTCGCGCAGGTTCCGCCCGGGCTCGTCATTCTGCCGCCCCGGGCCCGGTGCTGCTGCCGCCGCCGCCGCTGCTTCCCCCGAGCCGCGGCCCCCGTCCGCTTCCTCTCTTTCAGAGCCGCCGGTCCGCATCAGCGGCCACCGCGCTCTCGAACCGGCCCGCCAGCAGGCGCCGGTTGTGCCCTCCCCGCCCCTTCCTCCCCTGTCTTCCCCTCACCCCCCCGCCCGCCCGGCCCCTCTCCCGCCGGCCGAGCCCCGGAGCGCCGCTGCCGCCGGGGTGTGAGCGGGGCCCGGCGCCGTGCCGGGCCGTCCCTCGCCGGCGGGGCCATGGCCGCGAGCGCCAAGCGGAAGCAGGAGGAGAAGCACCTGAAGCTGCTGCGGGAGATGAGCAGCCTCCCGCCCAACCGCAAGTGCTTCGACTGCGACCAGCGGGGCCCCACCTACACCGACATGACCGTGGGCAGCTTCGTGTGCACCTCCTGCTCCGGCATCCTGTGAGTGAGTTCGGGTGGGGACCGCCGGCTCCATCCCCCCGGCAGCGGTGACCTCCGCCCCCGGCCGCCGGGGGACGCGTCCGCAGGGCGGCGGCGGCGGCCGGGCGGTGCAGCCCCGCCGCGGGTCTCGCTGCGCCGCCGCTCCCCTGCGCTCGCCCTTCCTGCTGCCGGCTCGGCCACGTCGGAGGGCTGCGGGCGGGGGGATCGCCTGAGGAGGGGAAGGGAAGGAGGCCGTCGGGAGGCTTTCCCGGGCGCATTCGCTGGAAATCCCCGTCGGAGCCCCCGGTGCGGAGGTGGCGGCCGCTGGCGCGGCGTGCGGGTCTGGGGCGCACGGCAGCCCCGCGGCCCGGAGATGATCCTGGGGAGGTTTCTCCGGCACGTAGGGGGAGCGCGCACGGGCAGCCGGAGCGCCACCACCCCACGGACGTGTCGGAGGGGTGGTTAATTAAACAAGTGTGCGACAATACTTGTGGAAAGGGAAGGGGCACGTGGCTGAGCAGTTTACTGTCATGACAGCCTTGAAGATGCGGCGATACTAACCCTGTCGTGAATACGTTTACAGATATTGCTTCAACGTTAAGTTAAGCCACCAGCATAGCTTTATGTGCATCGGGTTCTGCTTGGTGGTAGTTTGTAAGACAACTCTTTAAGCTCTGTCTTAGTCGATAAACTCCAGCCCCAGTGGTTTAAGAGACTTGATCAGAAAAGTAGAAGGTGGTTGGATTTTTTTTTTCCCTCTTACATCGAATGTTTCCTTCAAACTATATATATAAACCTTGGAAAGGGATTGGCTCTGATAAAGTGATTACATTTTTCCTGTTCCTCATTCCTGTATGGGCCTCCCCACTACTCCTCCCTTTTCCACCCATCCTCCCCAGAGATATTGTGTATGAAACTAAGAGTTGAGGTCAGTCACTTGTGAATTTCAGTCACATATCCCTAACTTGGGGGGAAAGACCCCTCTCTCTTCAGTGCTGCTGTCTCCTTAGCTATATCTGTTTGATTTTATATGATTCTGTAGCATTGTGCTAATGAAATGGAACAGAATCAAAGAGTAACCAAAGAAGTAATAAAGAGTATGTCAAAGGATACAGATTGATGTTTCTAAGGGTTTGAGCTCATAAAAGGAATTCAGGAGTCTGAACTAATTTCTGTCACCTTACTACCTCAAATAGCCCTTCCAGGTGAGGTCTGATGTTTTAGAACAAGGTTGGTAATTATGTTGAAATGCAAAATAAAGCAAAATGTTAGTTCTTTGCTGAATTTCCATGGAACAAACTGCCTTTTATACCAATAGACAGCTAATTAGACTTGGGATTCTTTTACTTCTGCTTTATGTAGGCTTCTGAACAGACTTGCAAATACAGAAAATACATTTAGGTTGTGAAATTGAAAAGAGTCTGGTTTTTCACACATACATGCCACTCAATCAGCCAGCTCTGGCTATTGTTTGCTCTCTTAGCAAACTTATTTGTGCTGGCACGTGAAACTATTTTAAGCTACTGCATTGAGCTTATTTAATGGTTGCACATGTTCTTCCTGGGTTCAGCTGACAGCGTGATAAAGCTGCACCATGAGAGTGTTTGTCTTTATTTTTCAGGCTTCTTTGCCTTAATAGACAAATATATTGTGAATGCTGCTGAGATGCTTAGCGTGGGTTCAGAAGAGTCTGTTCCTTTTATCTGTTGGCTGGGAGGTATGGACTACTAAAGTGCATAGTCCAATTTACAGCAACCAAAAGGACGTACAGCCAGCTCATAAGCAGGGGACAGCTGCCACTTGCTGTTAAGTTGGCCATCATTTGGTTGTTACCATGCTTAAAGGAGGAAGACTATCTGCAAAAACTTGGTAAGGTATTGGTATTCCAATAAAATGCAAATGTTTTTTTCATTCTAAATATGCAGTGTTTTTGCCTTGCTGTAAAAAAGCAACCACAAACATGTTTGGTTCTTACAGCTAGTAACACACTTGCATCTGGAGTAAACTGCTGTTAAAGGGACTTAAAGCTTCCCTCGAAAATAAATTTGGACTCATTCTTTCATGTCAACTTGGAAAAACCTCCATAAACTGTATGTGCTGGACCATGTACATTGGTTAACACCTAGCCATTGGGATGTTTTTGTTGGTGATGAGACTTGGTGTAGGTCATGTCTGTTTCATAACTAGAAACTTATTTTTAACACTTCTGTCAGAACAGTTCTTCAAACAACTTGTTTATTTCCAAATGCTTTTCACTGTAGAATTCCATGCTGTAGGGAAATGACTTGGGAACAAACCACATAATGGCAAATAGAAAAAGTACTGCTGCTTCTGTAGTCCTTAATGGCTGTTTGCGTTCTGCCTTGTAGTACTTGCTTTACTGTAAGGCTTTAATAATCTTAGTACTTTATCTTGTTTATATGCTATGTGAATGACTTGCATTGCTTCTTGTTATAATTACTTTTTTCTAATCTGGTACAGGAAGTATTCGTGGAGTCAAGTAGACTAGTTTTTTCAAGTATGAAGTGCCCAATGCAAGATTAAAATACTATTAGATTAAAATCTCCTTCTGAAAGGTTTCTCAGTTAATTAAAAGTGATTGCTAACATCAATGTCATTTTAAGTAGGCATGTTATTCTAGATACAGTTAACTCTAAACTCTTTAAAACTCTAGTATAACTTTTTTTGTTAGTTTTCTGAAGTGTTTATTCATTTTCCTGGCTGTCTATTCACACTGCAGATCTTAATTCTGGATCCATCCTGGATTTCCCTTAAGTATTTAATATGCATCAAAAGAGTGATGCTACGTATTACTAGATTTAGCTTTAAAAACCTACCATTCCCTCTACTAGCTTGTTCTTTTGGTGCTAAGAACAATGACAGAACTAGTGGTTTTGCTAAAAAATCTGTTTCTGGCTTGAATGTTAAAGGTGAGTCTTGTCAAGTCAGAAGTGTGAATGACAGGAGGTTTTTTTCCTTAGTATTTTGGTTCTAAGTGGTCAGATCAGATCACGTTTACCAGAGCAGAAGTTTTGCGGTGCAAAATTGTTCATGCTGGAGAAAGTTCATGCACAGTGATGTGAATTTGCTTCCTCTTAAAATACTTCTGCTTGTCCCCTGTGTTTAAGTTCTTCGTGTGGGCGAAAGAGGTGTGCTGGCATGACACAAGGTAATTCACCTTTTTGGTGTTGTACGAGAATATAGGATATATGGAACGATCCACACAGTCATTTCTGCGGGAGGAGATGCTCTGGAGGAGCAGTGTGCTTAGGTCAAGGATTACGGTCATACACCACGGGAAGATTTCTCTTTATTACAGCAAACTCGCATCTCGGGAAATGTTGGCAGGGAGATTATTTTGGTTTGACAGTAGTCCTTTGATTCAAAGGATTATGTTGGTAGCTATGACCATTGTTTTCCTGGATGCTCCCATGTGGCCTGCTGACAGTGACATCCTTCCCTTTGTCTTATCAAATGCCTCTCTGCCTTGTATCTCAGCTGTCTGTGCATCTCTGCTTTCAGGCACTTCTGTAGCACTCGCAGTCAGCCTGCTCCCAACTTTGATAAAAAGAACATGTTTTTCAGTTCACCAATGGAGAATATCCCTGTTTAAGAGTCCACTTGCACACGTTTTGTATTATATAATTTTTTAATTTAATCTTGACTCTTTTTTGTATCTGCTGATGTGATAATTAAGGCACTCCTGTCCTTTCTTTCACTGCCCTCTTAACTCTCTCCCAACTTATTTAGGAAGTCTCTTGTTCAGCAACAAGGAATGTTTAGAACATAATAGGTACTTTGAAAAATGCTAAAGCCCGTTTATGCTATTTTTTTTTTACAAGAGTTGGCCTTCTTCTGGCTGCGTGTGATGCTCCTAGTTTAAATTTTAAATTTTCACGAGGAGGGGACTTCTGTACCAGCCAGATAGAAGTATTTGATGGCAGATAGATTAGTAACAAACTATAGCATCTCTGTGCAGTGACTGTTCTTTCCCTAGAGGAAGTTTAGTAAAAATTAAAATAGTGTAAATAAACAGTGCTAGAGTGAAGGTGATTGTGTTAGCATGACTTTTCAGTCCTCTTTTTTGCTTTGGAGCATGTTTGGAAAATGCCTCCATGTTTTCTGTGTCTTTGTGTGTATATATAAGGGTATTTTCTGTTTTACTATATTTCTTGTTTTCAGTTGCAAGGCAGGAGAGCAAAGGAAATGGCTCTATACCACAGTGAACAATGTGCAGTTCAGAAAGAATGTTTGAGTATTTTTTAAGAAAAAACCTAAATTAACCTTAATTCTGCTTCAAAATGTGTGTATGAGTCGTCTGCTATTAAAAATAAATGAGCTTGTGAGATGGCGGAGGGTCTCCAGGGAGGTCTACAAGTATCAGGAATGGCCAGTGCTGCTTATATTCTTTTTTGCTAATTGCAGTAGCACAGAAATAATAACGAATACTGTGACATTGGGTATTCTGGTGCTTGTTTTGTGGACACCTGGGGATGTGGGGTGCTCTATGATGGCTTGGTATTTGACTTTTCTCGTTAACTTCCTGATTTTTAGGGGATGAGATTTTGCTGGCTTAGACTCGAGATGGTGTTCAAATCTGATCCAGGGAACACTAGCAGTGTTGAGCAGCCGTCTGCCCACCATTCCTCCCACAGAAGGGACCCTCTCTTCTGCCAGAGCTCACTCTTTGCATTTTTCTTCCCTCCCAGCCCTGGCCTTTGCAGACGGCTGCTCTGCCAACAATCACAAGTTCAACTATAATTTGCCGCTAAATTATGTTAGTAACAAATATCTGCTGCTTGTTGACGGTGTTTTGAATGTTTAATGTTTCAGTTGCCAGACTGCAGAATCTTGTGTCAGTGGCCTTAAAGGTTCCTTTGTTTGTGAGAGCCCCAGTTTAACAATGCCCTCTGGAGAACAGAGGTCTCATGTTCTCTGAAGCTGCCCCTGCGCTACGCTGTGACTCAGTGAGGGTCAGTGGAGGAGAGTCTCCACTGGGCTGGAAGCTCTGGTCACAGCGCTCTTGCACAGAAATAATCGTTGCTGAGCGTGAAGAAGTTGGCAGTGATGAGTGGGATCTCTGTGTGGGATGTTCTAGCTGTGGTGTGCTGGATAAGTGCAGATGGCAGAATTGTCTTACTCTGTCATCTTTCCCCAGGGCCTCTTGGGAGAGCTGCAGTCTGGTTTAAGTGCTGAGGTAGCGTTTGGTTGCTGCCTTCCCCTTGAGCTCTGTTGTAGGGAAGGGAGTAACTGGTACTTCTGCACAGGGGCAGGTTGTAAATACTTCTTCAGGGTCAATTTAAATTTAGGCATGGATAACTTGCACTAAGGGACTGCAATCCATTCTGTGCCCTGTTAAATAGGGAGTACTGTAAAGCATTGGAACTGTGTGAAACACTTGTCAAATACAAGAAAAGAAACATTTTTCCTGTAAAAAAGGAGATTTATCAGTTCCTCATAAGGGATAATTGCACTTGGCTGTCTACCAGTAAGCTTCCCCCATATGTAGAAGAGCTATTTGTGAATCATTTGGGTCATTAAATAATCTTTGTAGGTAAGGAAGGTCCTTGAATCCTGTTTCAAAAATGTTACAACTGTTCTGTTTTAGGGAAGATCCAGGCAATTAATGGATGACAGTCAGAAATCATAAAAAAAATGGAGAGTTTGCTGTTCTAATGGTAGAATGGAAGTAATTTATCTAAGGAAGATAATGCATATGTTTGGGCTATGTTGGTGTGCGCCTTCTTGTCTCGAATTCTTTGTTCTCGGCTGACTTCTTAGGCTGCTTTAGCATAAGGGAAAGCTTTACATAGGTTCTTTGCATCCTTTGCCATATTCAGTGGACATGAATACTTGAATATACAGTAGTTCAGCTTTATAGTTTACTTTAGATTATAGCTTTTAAAGTTTTGTTCAGAATTTCCAGTCCTCCTGGACCACTGACATGGTGTCATGCTTTCTTTCATCCTGCCAGACATCTGACACCTCTGTATGGTGATGTGACCTTTAGGGGGGATATCTTCCTTCTTTTAGCAGAATGGTGTAAGAGAAATGTGAATTCATCTTATCCCATGTGGATATAATGTGTATATCAGGAAACCTTATGAAACATTATATCTTTGAACTCTTCACTGGAGAGAGAGGCATGGAGGAAGTCTCTGGTGAGATTTAACAAAATCTTATCTAGGCCTCAACCACATTTAATATTGCTGCTTAATAGAGCTGAAGATGTTGAAGATATCTGTATTTGCTGATGTAAATGCTCTGAAGAGCTCTGGTAGGTGAGTGTAGACTAGGTACACCTTAAAGAAGTTGTGCAGTGCCCTGAAATTGCAAACGTAGGTACAACAGAGCACTGAAACTATACTTACTGCAAAAGGGAATTCCCAGCAGGAGCTAGTGGGAAAGTTGAGATCTACTGCCTGTGCTGAGAAACATGTGAATGTGTTCGTGAATAGCTCTGGCTTTTAAGCAGTCATTAAATAGTTTACAACTACCTAACTGTGCTGCTATTGTAATTACTCCGAGTAGAGTAAATTGAACAGACTAAGGCAGATAGAACTGCTTTTACACTTACTGCAAAAGCAAAGGACAGTAATTGTCATATAACATTTGATGAAGCAGATCTGTGTGAAATACCAGGTGGATGCCAACTTTATTTCTGTGCTGTCACTCAATATGTGATGCCACAAGTGCCATTTAGTGAAATGTAATTACTTGCATGCACAGACCAAGAAGGTGATGCTTTTAAAACCGAAAAATAAGCAAAACCTAATCCTAGCACCAGCTCTGAGACAATGAATTTTAACTGCATGGAACTCCTACAGATTTGGTTTAAATTGCATCATCTTATAATGAATACTTACTTTAAAAAAATCTTAGATAATACTGTAGTATAAATGTAGTAAATGTAATTTATTTGTGATTTAGATGATACAGCTAGATGAAAGATATTAAACTGGTAACTTTAATTAACCAAGAAATTTAAATATTTTGAGAGAAGATAGTTTAATCAACTATCTTAAAACCTCTCAGTTAAACTTCTTACCATGTCAAGGTGCTGAACTGTGGAGTCCAATGTCAGCTGCTCCAATTTCAAAAATCTGCTGCGGCAAATAGTATTCTGTAAAACTAATTTTCATATGCCTGTACGTTTGTAAATGACTTCTGTTTTTAAGGTACTCAAAATCACTGCATTTCTTAGCAAAATACAATTAGTTGTTTATCCAAGTATTAATCCAGGAGTGTTTATCTCAAATTGTTTTCTCCTGAAACTTAGGCTAAAATATTACTGCTTAGTGTTCTAACCTGTATCCAACTTCTGATTAAAAATGTGGAGATATTTTAACACAGAATCAGAATTTTCTTACAGGTACACTTGAATTTAGGTGTGAAGGTCAATTTGCAATTTGAATGCACAACAGTATTTTTCCCATTAGACTTACTTTGAAAACTTGAAGTGCTAAAACTTTGCTGTCAAAGTTGAATATAACGTTAATATTTGAAATATCAAATTTTTGTCATAGACTGTTCTGATGGATAACAATTTAATTTATAGTTAATGTTTGTGAGATAATCATGGAGTTTAAAGAAAACCACTGGTTGTCCTAAATTAGATGTCAGTGTTGTTTTGGTTTTTAGTCTCAAAAGTAATCTGAACCAAATTCAGAGTTCTAAGTGTAGGGACAAATATAAGCAATACAGCTATCAGTTGATTTTTCTTTGTGATTTGTTAGGCCCATATGACATCCCTGGAAAGCTTTTTGTGTGCTTTGATATCTCGAATGTATATTAATTGTTTTTTGAGATGGTATTTCAGAAATCCAGGCCTAATTAATCAGTGTTAAACTAGCGCCGTGGTTTTTACCTGAGCAAGTGTCAACACTGCCTGGCATTTGTGGGGTGGAATGTTCTGGCATCCATTGGGCAAAGCACAGCTTGGGTTTGATTGGAAGTGTTTGTGGGCAAAAGCAGTAGTTAGCATGTATTTAAAGAAGGAGTTTGAAAAGAAAGCAAGCTTTTTCTTACCCTGGTGCTGTGGCTCAGCAGGTTTTGTCTCTGTGCTTGCAGGTTGTGACTGAACGGTGTTTGTCAGTGTCAGGCTGTGTGGCAGCACAGGTGCCTGGAGTTGTGCTGGCCCTGCTGCAGCAGCCTGGAGTGGATGTGAGTGAGAGCGGTGCCAAGCTGGGCTCCAGGCAGAGCTGCTCACCTTTGGAGCTGTGGCATTAGCAATGGCATCTCTCGTTTGAGAGCATGCTAAAATCAGTGTCTTTTTGCTTTTGTTGTGATTACTTCTGTAGTGTTCAGGAAGAGGAATAAGCCCCTGTGAGTGCAGGGGCAAAAAGTAAACTAGAAAAAGATGCTCTAACAGGAAATGTAGGTTAAAGCAAGAGAAAAAGACTGAGCTGGGTAGTTTAGCTTGAAGAAATCTACTTACTGTGTAGAAGTTGCAATAAGAGATCAAAATGAGGAAGGAGTTGGAGGGAAAGGAAACTACAACCAGGAACCCAAGAGTGAGAGATGAAAGGTAGAGAGGCAAGGGTGAAGCAGATTAGGATTTAAAAAATAGAAGTCTAATTTTGTTTTCTTAAATTTGCATAGAAGGTGCCAGAGTGACTTTGCATGAGCGATTGTGAATATTGGTCTCCCCTGAAGTTCTGTTATTTTGCTTTGTATACAGAGTGTTACCTTGAGAAAAGCTTGCACAGCCTTAAGTTGTATGACAGTACTAAGAATGAGTATGCTTTACAGCTATGGCTCCTGATTTTAAAACTGAGTTCTAGCTGTAGCATTAAATGTGCTTGTACGATGACAAATTTCCTAAATGCTCAATACTTCTCGCTTCTTTCAGGCGGGGCTTGAATCCACCCCACAGAGTGAAGTCGATTTCAATGACTACGTTCACACAACAAGAAATAGAATTTCTGCAGAAACATGGAAATGAAGTAAGTATTAGCAAATAAAGTGGGTTTGGCACTGTAATATTAAAGTTGAAAACACTACTTAAAGAAAATGTAGGGTTTTTTTTATTATTTTGCTTTTTGTTTTTTTTTCAAAAGCTAGACAGAAGTCTTTTGAAGCCACCATCATTTGAAATGAGGCTTCTGAAGAGCTTGTTTCATTGGGTAGCAGATCATCACAATGTTATTGCCCAACCCAGACAATCCACATTCACATGATCACTATTTCTGAATTGGGTTTTCTTTTGATTTTGCACAAGGCAATATGCAACTGTCTTTTTTTTTTTCCTGTAAGCTCAGCACTTGAAACTGACTGCAGCAGTATTTCCTGAAAGAGTGTACTGTGACAAGAATAAATACAAAAATACAGCTTGTAGCTGTATTTGTTTACACTTGGTGTCAGAAAGTCTTCTTGTAGTTTTAATAGCCTCTCTACTTAATGAAAGTATATCCATATTGAATATTACTGAGAGAGGAAGGAAAGGGAGAAATTGTTATTTACTGACTGGTTTGTGGCAGTTTTGAAGAGAAGTTCTAGCATACTGACTCTTCGTTCTTTTTGATAGAAACAAAAATGGGAGGTGAATGTTGGATTGGCTCTGTGGGAATACACAGATCACTTTAGCCCTGGATGTGGCTATTGCTGAGGGTGAAGTTTGTGTTTTAATGCTCTGCTGTAGCCTTGAGGATGTTAGAGGCAGATTTTTGCCTCTGTTCGAAGTAGATAAGGTTCTGCTTCGCACTGATTGCATCTGTATCCTGTTTAGTAGAACTATTGATTGTAGGCTAGAGAGGTTTTATTGGTGTGCTTTTGTGAAGCTTTGTGGGGATAAATCCCATCATTCAGTAAAATGCTGATACTTAACTTTCTTAAAGTTGGTCTATTCATAACTGTCAGGTTGAAGAATGAAAACAGAAGTAGTAATTTCTTTTTCTGCCCTGGTAAATATGCGTTGAAATACACTTGTTGAAATGACTGTTAGTGGATGATTCCTCCAGACAGAGCTAGAACAAGGCCTGAACTCTCTGACTTCATAAAATACTGTTGATGGCTTGGATTGGTTGGGTTTTTAAAACTAGAGCGTTGCATATATGTGTGTGTGTGTACAGAGCATATTGCTGACTTTTTGCATAGGGAAATTTAATAAACAATCTTCCATTCACATGCAGTGTGTTGAAGGCTCTTTCCATAAGATTAGATTGGAAACTCCAGCTTAGCTTTAAGCTTCATGAAGTGTGAAGGAAAATGTGTGTTTGTAGCTCTGTCCCTGTATTTGTTTTAATTTCGTTTTTTACTGAACTTACAGTGTCTAGAGAGTGCTATGAGCTTGTTTTCACTGATCTGGAACCTTAAGTGATCCCTTCTCAAGTGATTAGTGTGGTTATCCTTCTCATTATAGCCATGACTAGTCTGCTAATCATAATGATTTACTTGATACATAATTTATTATTGACATTAAAAAATCAGACCTCTGCAGTGCTATTCTGTTTCAAAAGTGGGGGTCTTTGCACTTGTAGTACTCTAATTAGAGATTTGTAATGATTTAAATGAGGTGCTTCATAAATGAAGATGTCCTTCTGAGTTTAGTTTTAGGTTGTTGATTATTGCTTTAATTCTTAAGTAGAACTGAATAGACACTTTTAAATGCCTATGGTAGATTTAAGGAGTGCTCAAATACTGAACAGAAATTATTATTGCTTTAAACACTGTTAGAAGTTCAAAACCTAGTTAAACATGTTTTCACTGTGTTGTACTTTATATTGCATAGTTAAATAGGCATTTTGCTTTCTCATGTTCGTATTGGACTTTGGAATACTTATCTGCAGATAAGATAATGTATTGGACAGAGGAAATTCATCTGACTTCACAAAAAAAACCCGTTTTATTGCTTAGCTTGCTGTTCAGCATAGGAGGCTCTTATGTGTATAGGAAGAAAGGAAATTTCCTAAAATAAGTCTTTTCAAATGTGGAATTGTCCAATGTCTTAATATCAACAATTAAAACAATTGTACAACGATACAGATAAAAAGAAGCTCAACTTTTTTGACAGTCTATAAGGTTTAGCTTCTAGTTTTCTGGCACTTCTAAAATACTGTCATTCCAATTTTTTTGTTCTAGTCTTTCTCCCACATGGCCAGGGCCTCTGTGATAAACTTTCTTGCTTCCTGATGAGTAGATCATGGTTGTACAATAGGGATCTTGTTCTGAATACAAAGTAAAATAGCAAGAAAAATTCCATGAGATAAAGTAGTTAAGGTGCTGTGTTGTTCTTGGAGGAAGTAGTTTTCCACTCTCCTTCAAAGGATATTTGTGAGGTCAGTGTTTTGTGTGAGGTAGAAGTCCTTTAAAATAACCCAGACAACAAACAAAACCAAAAAACCCCAACCACTCAACCATGCAAAGTAAAACCCAAAATACTTCCTAATATGTAAAATGCCAACTTTTCCCTGGTTGGTGTAAATGACCCGCTTTGTAGCACACATGGGTAAAATAATCAGTTACTGACAGGCTTCTGCAAAGCAACTGCTTCAGGGAGAGATTATTCAGAGCAGCTTTTCCTTTGGTGAGACTTCATCTTCTTCCCCTTATAGACACATTCTAAGAAATGTCTTTCTGGCACAAGTAGCTTGAACATTATTTTAAATGAGTTTTTACTGCTTCAAACAGAGTTTTAAATCCTTATGCTGTGTTAGAAGACACCTATATTTTGGTGTTGCTTACTCATCTGGAGATATAAACAGTTGTCCAGACTCCAGTTTTGCTAATGCTGGGATTAGGTCACTGCAGTGAGAATGGAGGCATCTTCCAGCTGACATTCCTCAAGTGCCTTCTGAAATCCTTTTGGAGGATAAAGGCAGTTCTGACTCTGCTGGGTAAGGAGTTTTCTCTCCCTGCTCTCTTCATGAAGAGCAGTGTGAGGTATTTTCACATTTTCCCGTTAGGAATAATGGAGTGCTATGGAGATGTCTGTTTGAATCCTCATCCTCGAATGACGGTAGTGCTGATTCCGCCTCTGATTCAGTTGTGCAGTGGTAGTAGGAAGTGAACTCGCTGTTTGAAGAAAGTGGAGGTGGTGCTAATCTGCTGTTGCCATTATAGCTGTGAATATTTATTCAGAAACTTTTCCCCTCAGATAAAGAATAGTATTATGAACTGGTTACAGGGTTAATTTTTCTCCTACCCTTTTGAAAAATGACAGGTATTTTATAACCTTTCCAAATAACCCATTCTAATATGCATGTAGTTGAAGAAAAAGATCTTGATGATCTTGTATTTAGAAAATCTCTGTTACTCTGAGGCAAAGACAATGTTTACCTGAGCTAATGAGTAGAATACATGAAGGTATGCTCAGCTGCTTGGAATTATTTTAATAGTGCTGAATTTTGGTTTGGTGCCAATTTTCCTGACTCTCAATAGCACCTGTGCAAGTCTGTTTCCTGCACTCTTGCAGAACTGGCAGCAGTCTGAGTCTGGTTCAGAGCTGGTGTTAGGCCAAACCAGAATGCTTCCCTAGAATCTCCTTCAGCGTGGAATGTGGCCCAGAAACCCTGGAGTGGAAGGAGCAGTCCTAAGCTGGAGCTGATGAGTGCTGACAGCACGAGCTGTGCAGTCAGGTGTCCTTGGAGTACATTGCTGGTTCTGCTAATACGATACAGAGATACATGAGCTGATTGTGTGTAGAACAATGTCTTTGTTAGCAGGATTTACTGGCTTGACTCTGCTTATGAAACTGTTATAACTTCTGGACCCAAACTGCCTGTGTAATCAGCACTCTGGCAGTATAAAATTCTTTTAACCGACAGAGATTAATGAATAATATTGACATCAGAAGTGCAGAATTACTAAACAAAACTATAACTTACATTAAAAAATCGTTTCCAAATCTTTCTTCCTGTAGGGTGTTATGTTTTGGAACATAGTTTTGTCGTGTGGTAATGTGCAGTTCTTTGCACTGTCAGCATTACATTTGGCGCATAATTGCGGATATTTTATTGGCACGGAAGAAGAGAAGAAAAAAATCTAATTTGGCATTTACCAGCCTCCTGAAAGGTATTATCTTGTTAGAGCTTTTTAAACTAGACTGACACATGTAATCTTCCTATGCAGTGGTATGTCTGGGTCTCAAGAAGTGTTGTAGGTCAAGTAGTGCGCTTTTTCCCGATTGAAGTGCAACTTCTATCACCAGGAGGATGTGTTCTCTGAGATCTTCTCCTTGCCTTGCTGCCTTCACCATATGCAAGAGCAGGAGGCTTAATGAGCAAGAACTTAATTCTGCTGTCCTGACTGAATTTTTATTCTTCCTAACTAGCACAACTATGCTAACAGGAGTTTCTAAAGTGTGGTGGCTCAATGTGTTGTGTAAGCAGAAGGCCTTTGTCTCTCCTATATCCGCCTTCCCACACACACTGGAGATCTCTATCAGTGAAATAGTTATGACATGGCAAAGCTTTATTTGGTTGTTGAAATACATAGCACTGGAATGGAAATAACTGAAATCTCAGATTCTCGGTGTTTCTGCGAAAGTTGATGAATAATGCTGATTTTCTTAATTAGCACTTTTTTAGTGGGACTGTTCTTCCCCACTTGCCCAACTCTGTAAAAACACACAGGGGAAAAAAACCCCAAAACAACGTCAATAAAACACAAAGCAAAACAAAAGCTAAATTTTTGTGGAAAACAGGTAAATGTATTTTCTTTTTAGTCTTTGAGCCCTGCTTGGGATTCCTGAAAGCATGAAATGTTACTGGAGGCTGGGTTTTAAATCACAAACCTTTCTGATTAACTATGTTTTGTGGTGTGCCAGATGTGCACTGAATGGGATGTGTTATTTGTTGCTTTCTGTCAAAGCTGAAAACAAAGGTAATTTCTCCAAGTGTCGGACTACAAATGCAAATAGTGTATGGAAAACCTAATGCATGGTAAATATAATTACTCTGGGAAGAACAAATCTCCCTCAGATGGAATAGCTGTGGAGTGCAGATTC